TAGTCCTGTTAAACGATCTTGCAGGTTTTGTGAACTGCTGTGGAAGATGTTTAACATGATGACATCATAGCTGACATTATAGCCAAAGAGCCAGATGAGTATTGGAGGGGGATAAAAGAATATTTGTTTTAATAGTTTTTATTGCACCAGTCCTTAAGGCACATCACACTGTAAGGTAAATCCCCAGCAGTTTTTTCACTTCCTACACTATTTATCATTCAGAAAATAATTGTATTAAACATACCTTTCTAACCTACTGCCCTGAATGAGCCTGATAATTCAGGTTAAGCTTTAAATATACTAAGAGTCATTAAAAGCTTAATAAGTACTCCGGTAACATTTTTCACACACAAAAATAAATATAACAGAATTATTAAGTAATGAAAAAGGGTTTAAAAGCTTTTTTTCACGTGAGTAGTCTTGCAAGACCAAGTTGTCAGGTCTATATGGTGCTATGCTAATCCTAACCTTAATGCCACAGGCAAGCAGGGATCACGTGACTGGCATGCTGACTTACAATGAATGCTGCTGTGTGTGTGATGCGATTGATATCTATGTTTGTAACTGCTACATTTAAACTTTACCTGAATTAGACTTCTTAGACCAGAGTTCTCCTGGGCAGTGGGTCTCAAAAATGAAAAATATTGAAAGAAGGTAGGTCAACAAAAGCTTTTTCAAAGGAATATATCTTGAAAAGTGAAGCTAAAACCTCAGAGAGAGCACTATGTTTTTCCAAACTATGAACCATTCAATTTTGAGGCAAACTGGGGACCCACATTGATTTAGGATGGAGTGACCCACAGGCCCACGAATGCCACCTCTGGGAGACGTTTCCTGGAATCATCCTTCTTACAACTCTTTCCATTCCTTGTTTTTTGGAGGCACCTTTACACACTTCTTAAAATAGGCTGAACATCTGGACCTGCATTTCATGGAGGATAAAACTTGTCTTGAAGTTCAAGAGGTATGCCTGCATCTGAAACAAAGAAAATAACTGTTTTAATTGCTTTATAAAAAACAAAACAAAAACAAAAAACCCAACAACTGTACTTTAAACTCTGACTGCCTCCACTCTAAATTAATGATAATATATACAGATGCAATAGAAATGCTCTAATAATGGTATTAGGCTCAGTCTAACAGTTTAAAGTCAGCTGCCTTAATATCCAGAAATGATGGAAAAGTTGGGCTACTTTTTCCTTTTCTAAGTAATTTGCTTCTGGAAGGTTAGTAGTTCTAGTTCTTGTTTGTCTTTCCTGCCGGGTCATCACCAGTGTAAATTATCTGCCTCCATCTAACCCGATCCTTTGCCTTCTCCTCTGCAACAACAACCCTCTACATGTCCTCCTTCATCCATGAACGTTCTCTATGGTCTTCCTCTTTTACTCCTGCCTGGCAGCGCCATCTTCACTGTCCAACATTTTCACTATCCCTCCTCTGCACATGTCTAAACCTCTGTCCCTCTGCTACACTCATTTCTAATGCTGTCCATCTTGGTTACTCACAATAAAACTCTTAAAATCTTTAACTCTGTACGATCCTGTCTGACACTCTTCACCCCCAGAACACCTTTGACGTACTCATCCACCCAGCCTCTACACCAGAGAATGGTTAGTTGTTTGCAGATCCAAATGGAGAATGCAGGAGGGGGAAGGTTAAGAAAGCAACGATAGACTATAAAAAATAAAACATTAAGGCAGAATCATGAAAATAAGCAGAAACTGACACTAAAGCTTAAACTTTTTAAAATGTGACGAACAAGAAAAAACAATAACAAGCAAACAGAATATGAAATAATAGCAAGAATTCAAAGTTTATAACAGAAAACCCAAGGACTGTGACTTTACCTTACAGCATGGTAGAACAGTCAAGTCCACATCCCAACGCTCTTCACCTTGCTTCCCTTCCACCTGGTCTCCTGCAGAAACAATATATCTGCCTTCCTCCTGTCCATCATATCAGCTAGCTAATTTTAAACACCCTACTCTCACCTCCGTATACCTACCTTTCCTTTTTTCTCTCTTGTTGCCTCTTCCCCATAGCCTATGTGGTTAGAAAAATACATGGAGTACACCAAAGGTGGAGGATTCTTTGTGATGTAGAAGCAAATTTTATTTTGGGTCTGCATTTTCAGAGGCAAGATATGAAGACTCATATGTACGTTTAATATTGGTACTCCTTCACCAAAGGAGTAAAAACGAGAAGGAACAACACAACGCCACCAAAATAAGAGTAAACACCAGCACAGTAGCCCTTCCCACATTCAAGGGTTGCAGAGAAAAAAGTTTTAAGAGCGATGCTGAAGTTTCCTTTTATAAGGGTGTCCTCACTCCCGGTTGGTCCATTCAAAGCCTCCTCCCTCTAATTAGGTGGAGATTCCCAAAATGACACCAGCCTGCAGTCTACCTTGGGAAATGGCTAGCAAAAGGAGAGGGAGAAAACAGGCAGTCTGCAGACACGTAACAGTTTTTTAAACATCTTTCATCCTGTGATGCTAGGATTCTGCGGGAGGGGTAAGAAAATAGAATTCAGTTGTTTGCAATCTCCTTACATTTGGCAGTAAGATTTTCCACAGTGTACCTTTGAAATTTTTGTAAAGTTTGTAATGAAGACCAACATGGATCAGTTATTTATATCATTAACCTTTTCCTTGCCCCTACTAATATACTCATCACAGATGAACACAGATATTTCCCTGCTGCAGTAGTTTTACTTACTACGTACTCTATTCATTATAATCAGAGACACTTTCATTCTCTGGGCTCTGTATTCTGGACAGGTGGGAGATGGATTTAACTGAGCCAGAGCAAATTTAATTGTACGTAGAATTCAGTTTTATTTATACTCTGCCAAATTACAGTATAAGTCATCAGAGGACAGCTTACAGTGCTACAGAGAGAAACTGAAGAAGTCCCTTGAGCTGTGGTGAGGGGAGAGCTAAGACTGAAATGAGGACCTTGATCTGAGAGTAGAATCTGCTGCCATGATGATAAATCTGCATCCCCTGATTTGAAAAGTGACACACAAGAGATTAGCACTGATGATCCCCAGTGAATATTGTCTACATTAAATTAAAATAAATGCTAAAAATTAAGAGGAATATAAATGTAAATGTGAAGTTGTGTTTTCTGTCATTTATGGATTCTCACAATGGTGGATATGAATATTAAACACGGCTGTAGTTTCAGATAACGAGGTCAGTACATGTATGAGTAATCCTTATGAGCCAAACACTTCAGTCTGTTCCAAACACTCAGATCCTGACATTTTTTTGTTCTTGTTGTTGTTGTTGTTTCCCCAAATCTTGGCTCTGTAAAACGTCACAGAAGGCATAACCATAATATGGTCAGGATCACGGAAGCCCCTCCCAGTTGCTGATGAAAGAGGTAGCCAATCAGAAGAAAGTTTCTTTAAGGGAAAAGCATTAAAAGGCCTTATTTCCGACGGTACATGAACAGAAGGTCTGCATCTAGACCCAGCGTGAGATAAATAAGTAACATTATAAACTGCGAGTCATGCAAAGTATCCGTATTCAGTACCTAACTGTCTGGACAGCCTCTGCCTGTTGGCTAAGATCTGATCGGCGCAGCTGTTTCAGAATGATGTAACTGGCTATAAATTGGAAAATGCGGTGTTTTATTGATCATTTGCTTTCCCTGCTGCACCTACAAGATCTGTAATCTCTCAAAGCGTTATTTTATGCTTTATTATGCTGTGTGCATCATGCATCACTTGATTCTATCAGCAGATCTGTTTTTAATCTAACGATCTGAAACAACTGCAGTGAGAGCTGCAGGAGCAGATGGCAGGTGTGGTGCAGTCTATGTACCATTAATTACTCAGAGGTAATTCAGGGCTTGTCAAAAAATGTTTCTTCAGGTAATAACGGGTAATCTTGTTTGTTTCTGTGAATTATTTTGATGAATAATTACTTTTCCATTACAAAACAGCTTTAAAGACAGCTTGTTATTAACCTGCAGTTAAATACACTTACAGATGTCATTAGAAGTTTGTATGCACTTATTTCTAATGCCACTAACAAGAAGTTAATAGGTCTCGGCCTTGCCAAGATAAAAGACGCAGAACCTTCAGCACCACCTATTAACAGATTTAAGGGAGTTTGTGTATATATTTAAGTTTGTATGTAAACTTTTGAACATATAAATTAGAGAAAATACGAGTGTGACTGTTCCTCTCCTTCCCATCACAGCAGCTGCACCATGAGCTGCAAAGTCAATAAACTGACAACTAAAGTATGTAGAATAGCATTTTTAAATGCACAACATGTCAAACCTTGCAGCAGAAGACCACACCGAGTGCCACTCCTACCAGGTAAAAACAGTTAACTGAGACAGTTCACATGGGCTCACCAAAACTGCACAATAGAAGATTAGAAAAATGGTGCCTGGTCCATTGAGACTCCATTTCCACTGCGATATTCAGATGGTGTAAATAGTATGAATCCATATTGCCTTGATCAGTGGTTCAGGCTGTTGATGGTGGTGTAACCATGTGAGGGATATTTTCTTACCACACATTGGGAAACGTAGCTACAGCTGAGCATTGCTTAATCCCACAGCCTGCTTGAGTATAGTTGCTGACCATGTCTATGTACCGATTTTTTGACGGCTGCTTCCAGGAGGATAACACGCCAATATGGACCACAATCACTGAGGAATGTTTCCTGCACCTTGTTGACCTCATGGCACGAAGATTTAAGGGTCTTTTAATGTCATCTGACATCATTTACTGTGTATATTTTTCACTTTAGTTTTTACCTCATTAAGATATTTGTCTTGTCATGTTGCATAGGAATTTCCTAAATGTGAGACAAAGTATATGTTGTTTTATTTTAATTATCTACACATCCCTTGATTACTTAGAAATATATCTAAAAGTAATGACTGAATAAAAATGCAGACCTAAACAAATGTTTATTTAATGTGTGCAAATGTGTCTTGCTGAGCTGGTTATTCCTTTGCAGGTGGAGAGAACCGATGGCGAGACCAGGAAGCAGTACATCACTGAAAGGAAGTTCCCAGCGAGGAGCACCGGGTATTGGTCCGCACACGCCGAGCTTTTCCGCCGCCTTTGGGCAGCGATACATCCCTTGGTGTGTGTGATGTGCACCCGCTCTTTCTGAAATCCGCCGTCCTCAGCTCAAGGACTGTGCCGAAACTGGTATGTAGACACAGCTTTTCCCCTAAACTGCGAGCTGGCAGTGAAAGAGTTGTGTTTAAGCACACGTCCTACCGGTGCAGGCTTTGTCCCAGAAAATGTGTGCATGCTAACCGATTCTGGCTAATGTTATGAGGCTTTGCTCGATGACCGGTTACTCTTGCAAAATAATGATACAATGATCTGACAGTACACTGTGCCGCAGCTCTAAAATCTGATTTTGCATTTAATGCTCTAATATTGTGGCAGACTGCAGCGGCCGAAGAGCAGGAGCAGCACTAGAAAACTGGACCTTAGCATTAGCTCTGCCGCTAGTGAAAAGAGACATTAACGTCAAACAGCGCTGCTCGCTATGAGGGAGCTAGGCTAACATGACGTTAGCTGTTCTGTTGTTGAATGTAGCACACAATAATGTCTTCATTTACTCTACCTGTTTTCATGTGTTTATGAAATGTGCACTGAGGTGAGCTCGCTTAAAATTAAAGACCTTTGTGCATTTGTGCATGCAATTTCAGTTAGTTGTTTGTCGCTATAAAAGCGTTCAGGCCCAAATAAGTAATGCATTAAAACGCGAGGCATTAGTATGACTATTATACAATAGAAACTGAGCACAGCTACACCAGCAGGCAGTGTTGTCACCGCCTTAACGTCAATTACACAGCTTTGTAAAACCTTCAGTTTATAAAAGCTCCTTTTAGGGTCTCCACTACACAAAAAACCAAAGCACTGAGACCCAGTTTAAATCCTGTTCACCAATAATCACTGTAAATAATCAGGGGTTTGTACTGTAGGGTAAAAAAACGGTAATGGTACCCACTAATGAGATTTTTCCAGATTGAAAATAACCTGAAGCATGTTTAAAAATTTGTTTTTTTGTTGTTGTTTTTTTAAAGTCATGTATTCAAAGCAAAAATAAATAAATAAAAATCTAAACAAACTGGCCAAACATTGTGCGCCATGAAGTGAAAGTGATGCCATTAGGGCTGCAGCTATTGATTACTTTCAGAATGGAGTAGTATATCGATTATTCCATCAATTAATCAAGTAATCGAATAAGGAATACTTTTGTATTATTAATGAGAAATAATAAATATCAAAAAGATTTAAAAAAATTCACGTCTTACCTTTACTCTGTCTTCTTAGAAGGCTTTCTAAAATTAATAGGAGGCAAGTTTTAATGCAGCTGAAAAAAGACATGATGTTGCAGATGTTAATTCATATTAATAATAATTCTGTGTCTGACCTAACAACCCTCAGGTCAGTGGCTCAGAGTTTAATCGCCCTTTTACATTTTAATTGGCTTGTGAAGAAAGCTTTTATTTTTAAACATTAATGCAATTTAATGAATAAAATATTTTATATTATTTCACTTTTAGTCTGAAAAATGTTATGAAAGCCTTGGAATAAGTATGGTCTCGTGCACCCCATACCCCCCTTTAGACTCACCCCTGTTTGCTGCAGGTATTGCTTCCATGTAAAAAAGAAAAAGAAAAAAAAAGCTGTATAATTTAACCAGTCTTGTATCACAGACTAACTAACTCACTAAGTTAACAGTTTATCTGCATATTTTAATACTTCTGGAGATTTATTGTAGAAATAAGCGGCGGTGGATGGATAAGCTACAAAGTTTGCTTTTCTTCACGTCCGGTGTCAAATGACTAATCACATACTGTATAATATTTAGGTACCTGTGTTTATGCGCCAGTGGCTGGTTCAAATTATGGCATCGGCCCCTTATTGTGGCACCCTCAGATGCGATGAAATGCCATGCAATTTGAGGGCTGGATCAAATTGTGACATCAGCCTCTAACTGTGGCACCCATGGTGGAGGCTTACCATGTCATTTAGGGGTGATGCCATGGCTGCTTAGACTAATACCTCAATCTGTTGCGGTGTTTGGGGTGATGCTGTAGCATATGGAGATGATTCCGTGGCATTTTGGGGTGGTGCCGCACACTGCCAAGGCATTTGGAGAGGATAAGTCAGAATTGTTTAAAACCAAACCAGATCAAGTCATTTGTCTGAACTATGTTATTTTCTTTGATTCGTGATTTGGGTGTTTTCTTAGCTTTTTGTTTGATTGCTGTTAAATTGAAGTATTGAGCTAGTTTGTTGATCAGGTCCTTACGAAAGAGGATTAGGGCCACTGGGGGAAAAAAGTGGGCACGTCTTTTTTTTTTCTTTTTTTTCTTCTTCTTTTCCTGAATTCGGTGAAAAAAGTCAGAATTCTGACTTTTCTGACTCATTCCAAACCATGGCCAACCTAAAAACATTTCCAGACAACCACTATACATTGTGACATTCCAGTATTTCAAAAAAGCCACAGTAAAGACATTATTAAAAAAAACAAAAACACACACCCACACAGCTGTGGCAGCTCAGCTGTTTGGACGAGGTATGTAATGGCACTGTCTCAAAAAGCCGGGATAGGTCGTGGCATCACCCTTAAAACGCTGTGGCATAACCCCAAGATGCCATGTCAAATGGTAGCATCTGAGTATACCACCAGTTTATAATCAATTTCTAATCTAAATTCAAGGAAATCAGTTTGAATACACAAAGTCTCTTCTTATTAAGTTTAAGAAATCTAGCTACTTAACATGTTGAGTAATCGATTATCAGTTCTACTAAAAGCAGCCCCACTCCAGCTAGTAAAGCCCTCATCAGGGGTCATTTATTTTATGCTCAGCTTGTTTATTCTTGTAGAACCGAGTGCTGACCAGCTGTATGCCAAATGCAGATTTTGCAGTTTTTTTGGTGCAGACTCAGGCACCGGATGCTCAGATTGCACACCTGAATCGAATTTCTCCCAGTAACCCGTTTTCCATGCATTTGCTGCAGCGATTCCTATCGTTACTTTTTTAATAGGCATAATCAGAAAAAGTAATCACAGGTAAAGATCAAATGCCTGTTTCGACAGTTTATCGTGAAATACTTTGGGAACACCATTTTTGTTTGTTTTTTTCTTTCAATAATTAGATCATCCAAGGATCTGTACCTAAGTGGGCCACCATCAGTGATATCTGTGTTTCTTATTTCATCTCAAAGTGGCTGATGGGAGATACGTGTGTTGTTTGCTGAAGCAGTAACTTTAATGTTTTTCTGTTGTAGGTCCACAATGTCTGAACTTTTTATGGAGTGTGTAGAGGAGGAGCTGGAGCCGTGGCAGAAACAAGTTCCTGAAGTTCACTTGATAGAAGATGATGACGATGAGCCCATCTTTGTTGGAGTGCTCTGTATGTTACACCACATTTTTAGAAATATAAAAACGTCTTATTTTATTGTTAAAACTTTAATGGCACCAATGAATGTATAATAATACAAAAACAGACTAGATTCCTCCACCAAAGCTGAAATTTCCCTGGAGAGCTTCCCTGTGCCCAGATCCAGATTAGTTTGTTAAATATTCGGGAACATCCACACAGTATCGCCCAGTTCTTAATATGCACTTGTAAATATAGGATAACTAAATGTCCACTTTTAACCATTTGGAGACAGGATAAAAGTCCTTTCAAAGAAATTCCTGGCACCAGATCAAATATTGTCTCTGACATGTAGAGCTGTTTGTCCTGCTAGATTGTTTTAGTTTACTCTATAGTACTCATTTATGCCATCAGGCATACAAGATTCATAGTTTTTTTTAAATAATTGGGTCGTGTTTTCTGGAAAGAGACGGTGACAATGTCTGTAAATTTTTGCCTCAGTACGCCACCCTGTACACCATCTAGTGAAGTTATGAGGAAGTAAATGTGTCATTGACAAAGCCTACAATGGAAAAAAAAAGCTGTCACGAATAGATGCAGTTCTTTGACTCGTGATCTGAAGCATATCACATCATCTGTCAAACATGATGGTGGTAATGTTATGGCTGCCACGTATGACTGCCAGTAGAACTGAGTCGATGGGGTTTGTTGATGATGTTACTGCAGATTGAAGTAGCAGGATAAATTGTTGAACTGTGTACAGGGTTATACTCTCTGCTCAGATTCACCCACATACTGCGGAACTGATTGGATAGTGCATTATAAACTGTAGGCAGAGAAACCCACAAACTGCAAGTTGTACCAAACACAGTTCGGATGTATAAATGTCCCTATATTGTCCCAGCATCCAGAGGAGAAATAGTGTACATTTAATTTTCTGTAACTCGCTATTTTTAGTCAATTGCAGCTCATTACAGAAGTTGTTTTTCTAGGGTTTTTACTTGTTGTCCAGCAAGTTGCACATATTGCCTGCTAAAATTCTAAGTTTTCAATGCTTTGACTTTGTTTCTGGTTGTTGTTGTTGTTGAATTGCCTATTTTTGCCCCCCTTAATGTTCTCACAGCGAATAACCAGAAGGATGGAAAGCCTTCTAACCCTCCGACTCCTCAAAGGAAAAGTGCAGCGAAACAAGAAGTAAAGTGCCCCCCTCCTCAGCCTGCTGTGGTCCCCTCACCAATAGTGCTGCCATTGAATATACCTGGGAAAACAAAGAGTATTGTACCAACCAGTCTGACAACAATAACTCCACAGCCTGTTATTGTCAATAATCAGGTATTTTTGCATTTAAGTGTTTCTAAATACCAAAAAACTAAATGATAAGAGCAGGCAGAAGGAACAGAAGCTGATAAGGGTGATTTTTGTTTGTTTTTTCAGGGCTTTATTGTCACTTCTCCACAGTTAACAAATAGCAGTGACTTTATTGCCTCTTTTGGGGCCGCGTATCCCCCAAGACCATCAATTACAATCATTCCAGGTAAATCTCAGTTTAATATAGTAATCCTTTTGTGAGTAAATCTTCATTGCATTACATTTTGTTTGTTTATTTTCTTTAGTTTGAGTCTTGCAATGCCAAGTGCGTATCCTGTTGCTTACAGCTGGTCAGCAGCAGATTTTTCAGCAGGTCTCTCCAGCCACAGTCATACCTGGCGCTGTCCACAGGCCACAGGTGCAACAAATTAGCAACAATGTTGTGACACTGTCAAATGTCCAGAGTCCTGCTGTATACTCAACACAGCCTAGTCAGCTTCAACCAAACAGATCCACCTCACAACCTCTTCAGACCTTTTCTATGTCTGCAAAGGACACCAATAGCAGAGGTAACGCTCTAAAAGTTAGCTATTTTGCTTTTCCTGATTTTTTTTTTTTCTGCCACGTGTACATGTTTTGTAGTGGTGGTTCCTCATATTAAACACAGCCAAAGTTTCAGATAATGAGGTCCGTATTTGTGCAAATAGTCTTTATTAGTCAAAAGCTCTAGCTCACACCTTAATGAAGAGCAGTGAAATAGAAAAAAGTCAACTTTAAGGGGGGAGGAGGTTAAAATGTATTGGTTCAGAAAGCGCAGGAATTGTTGGATTATTTTGATCTATGAATCATGTGAAGCTACTCTTGTAGAACTTAGAACATATAACTTTTATTGTCAGTATACAGTTGCTTGCACAGTGAAATTAAGTAGCAAGACCACAAAGATGAAAAAGTAAAGAAAACAATATACCTCTTCAGAACCTCTTGCTGTGTATACCTCTAGTGTATGTTTATTGTAGAGTCTAGGGATAAAAATGTGGAACTGTGACAAAAAAAAAACTGTGTTTTTAGCCTCAGGCAGCTCAATTATCTCAATTGTCACTTGTTTTACATTTCGGTACAGATCAGAGCTTACTGAAACGAGGACTGGCACCACAGGAAATGGACAACGTAGCAAAAAAATCAAAGCCTGACTTGTGTAAGTTTTATTGACAATTTTTTTTTTTTAAACTCAAAAAGATTCTAATCCAAGTTCCTGCTGTATTTTATTAAGTTTAACCTTCAGTTCCTTTTCTGTAGCACCACAAAAAGTAGTCATCAGAGTGGAAAATGGCATGGTAAAGAGAAAGTGTCCCAATTGTCAAGAAGAAATTCTCACAGAGGAAGCTCTAAAATATCACATGATGGTGAGTAAAACTCTGGTAAGAATATGTTATTGTCAAATGGGATTATATGAAATAATTATATAAAATAATGTTTTTAAAAGCCCGTCAGTTTTAGCAAACAATCATTCGTGTGTTGGTTTCCATGAAACATTAATATGTTTAATCCGTTTATGTCAGAACTGCCGTGCCAACGGAGGAAGCACAGCTCCAGCGGCCCTGAACACGAACTCAAACAAGCGCATCATGCTGGTCGCAGATTTCTATTACGGTAACTTTGAGGGAGACGTGCAAAAGAAGGAGGCACAGAAGACCAACACCACCTTTAAGTGCCAGAGCTGCCTAAAAGTTCTCAAGAATAATATCAGGTAGGAAAATTTGCTTTCATTCTTAAGTAGATAGCCATAATTTTTCTTTATGAATTGTCATTTTTCCCACAAAGAGTGCAGACTTCTTGCTGATTTCAGCATTTTGCCTTTGTAAGTTTGAATTATTTACATTATTTTATTGGTTCCTATTGGCTGGCACCACATGTAAAACAACAGGACGCAAATACACAGTAATTAAAGCATAATGAATGGTGCACATCCATAAATGTCAGCAATGACTTCGGCCACTTGCGCAAGTTACATGAAAAGCTCTACAAAGATTCCCCAAAAGTCTAAATCAGACCTCACTCCTTGATTGGTACATATGCCACTATATTAATATGCATAATATCCTCCTGAGAACTGAGGAAATAGATTTTATGATTTCCTGCCTCTTTCGAGCTCAAAGAAGCCACCCAAACATATGAGATATCGTTGGAAAGGCCAGCATGTCCTCTGTGAGCACATCGGCACCTAGTAAGGGTAGCTCAAACAAGTCATAAGATATAGAAAGAAAACAAATGTCCAAAATAGAGGAAAAAATGAATAGGCTGGGTCTCAGGAGGATATAATGTACTATATATTTACAAATATTGGTTTGTTTTTATGTGTGTTTCCTTGTCACTAAATAGAAATTAACCAGCATATATTTGCTCCAAATATCCATTAGATTGGGTCGTCGTGTTATTGTTTTATAGTAGTAATTGGGCTTCCTGCTTTAAGGAAGTCTGAGCAGCTCGGCTTACAGGTGGCTGCTCACCTCATAACCAGGCTAATCGCTTTCTGCTGGGGAACATCTGATTGTATTACAGTAATAAATAGGCAGGTTGGTCTAGTAGTAATTATTCAACTTTAGTATTCTGTTTTGCTCAGTAATAGGAAGGCGTACGGATACTGATCTAAACTCCAATAGTATTGTTAATTTGTGGGAATTATATTTTGAAATCAACATTCCCTTCATGAAGGGGAGTAAAGGCAAAACCATCGGCCTTTTGCAACTCTAACATGGATTTGAATAAAGTATTAGTGAATATTTATGGTGTTTATAGACAGTGCTGTAGTGTTTGGCTTGTTTTGTCTACACACATAATGTTCAAAAACCAACCGAAGTTTTCAAGGACTTTGTGTCCAGTGCCAATAAAACAAAAGAGAGGATGGGGAGGGAGGTTATCTGCCTCTGCCCTAACTGCAGCTTTTGTCTCAGATGGATGACAGTATCTGACCATTTTCCCTCATGGGCGTAGAGATGAAAAATGACTGCTAGTTTAGGTGGCGTAAGAAGTGCTCCTTTGATTAAATAACTTTGCTTCAGAACAGTGGGGCAAAAAAAGCTTCTGTAAGCTGCTTTTAATGGGAGAACACATTTGTACTGCAACCACACTCTCACAGCGGAGGTCAGAGTTCAGCCACATAAAAATTTCTATTAGGGGAGCTGAGGTAGCAGAATGTGCAGGCTGAAAAATGGGCCATGCCTCGTCAGGGCAGCAGTGGCAGGTAGCTGAGGAGGTGCTCAGTGCAGCCGTGGGGCACTGTATCATTAAGCAAAACAAAAATCTTTGTGTAATTGCTGATATTATAGCAGCCATTATACATGCTTAGAAAGTGAAGCGCGAGCAGAGCGCTTCATTCATCTTAAAAACCTTTGGGACCTGGATCCGGTGCATGTACACAGGCCATGAATATTTAATTTTTCCCCCACAAAGCTAAAGTTGATGCTGTTTTAGTGCACCTATTTTCTCTTTAAAGATAAATCGTGATCAAATTTGTTCAAGTCCGCACTTGTGTATTTATTTATTCAACCTTGAGCTGTTTGTGCTGACCAAACGCAAACATTGTTATGATGAATGACTGGAAGGGCTGTGTGGAAAATACACTTAAATGTAAAGTAATAGCTCACCTAATAGTTTCTGGCTTATAAATTAATTCTTTAATGTAGCAGCTTTGAAAATGTAGGGCTTAGACAACCAGCAGTATACAGATGTTCAGTAAGTTCAGTTAGCATGCACTGTAGCTGATCTCAACAGGTTTAAGCTGATCTTTAACTATTCAACAAATATATAAGTGGCCTGCCAAAATGTTCAATCAGTAGTACCAACACTAATATCTTGAAAATATATTTTTGTTATGGGTTAAATTTAACCAATTTAAATACATTTAAAACAGGGTTAATAATGAGCAAAAACTGAACTGTAAAGTCAGAACACCTGTTCATCATATAAAGTATATTTGTGAACAATTATAGAAACACTTCCTTACGTTTATAACCTGAAATGAACTTTTTTTAAAATAAATTAAAAAAAAATGTTACTCTTAGTTTACTCACTCCACCTTTTGTTTCTTAGGATTCAGGATTCAATATTACAGGTGCAACAAATATAATAAGACATGAATGGGGGGGGGAAAAGTTTGACTAATGTTTTCATATAATTTAAAGTATGAAAAGCAATTATTAGGATTAATTTTGCATTCCAGCAGCAGGTGGTCTGGGCTAGAATGAATAAATACGGGTAAATACTTTCTAAGGTTTCAATCACACAGGGCTAGAGACCAGTTGGCAACCTCCAGTAACTTGGTAACAACTGGATGATGAGTGGTTGCTTGAGGTTGCTGGCTGTTGCTAGGAGATATCAGTTGTAATGATATGATGCTACACTGAAAGCCTCATTGTGATTTCTTTGGTAATGAGCAGATTAACAAAAGTCACAAAAGTCATGTCTGCAAACACTCAGCAACTACTCACTGATCTGTAACAAAGATGAAAACACGATGAAAACCAGAAACGGCCGTTTGCCTTATGAGCACAGTTGTGCCTCGACTCTAAAACCAAAAGGTTTCAAAACTTTTTCGATGAAGGCGATTGCTCTTTCTAGCCTGCTTCATGCTTTTCAAAGGTTCAGTTCCACTCTGCAAATAATTAGTGTTTGCAGACAAGCTAGCATCTTTTATGGGCAAGCGATGCTAGCAACCAAAGCAATCACTAAGAATACATCTTTGTGACCAACTATTTGCGAACCAGTTGGGAACACCGATTTTTCTTAGCAACCTGTTCTGAGTGGTCTCTAGGTCTTTACTGAGGCCTGAATCGTCAGTTCAAATAAACGCCAGCAGTCTGTTCTTGATAACAGTTAAAAGCTGGCTAATTGTTCAAAGGCTGCCACATGCTAACGAGTTGGTTGACATTTCCGTGCTCTGTGTGTTTCCATTCTTCGCTGCAGGTTCATGAACCATATGAAACACCACTTGGAGCTGGAAAAGCAGAACAGCGAGAGCTGGGAAAGCCACACAACCTGCCACCACTGCTACCGACAGTACATGACCCCGTTCCAGCTGCAGTGCCACATTGAGAGTGCTCACAGCCCAATTGAATCCTCAAGTATAACACGATGATTCATGAAGCTCATTCTGGCTTTTTGGTTAGAAATTTATTTTCCATATCTGATTTTATTCTATTTTTTTCCCTTTTAGCCAATTGCAAGATATGTGAGCTGGCGTTTGAATCAGAGCAGGTGCTTCTAGAGCACATGAAGGGAAACCACAAACCTGGGGAAATGCCTTATGTGTGCCAGGTCTGCATTCATCTTAGGGTTACAGTTTCTTTTAATGTGTGCAGAGAATCGGTGGCCAGTACTGAATTTGTGGTTTTACTGCTTCCACAGGTTTGCAATTACAGGTCTTCCTTCTTCTCTGATTTGGAGACACATTTCAGGAGCGTCCACGAAAACACAAAAGACCTGCTGTGTCCCTTCTGTCTCAAAGTTCTTAGAACTAGTCATATATACATGCAGCACTACATGAAACATCAGGTATGAAGCTAAGTTCACCCTCAGTTTGAAAGCCTTTCAGAAACAGATGTCAGTTTTAACTGCCGCAGTGCAAAATACAGTTTAGTGAATTCAGATTTTCTCCAGGAAATTTTAAACATTTACAGGCTTGGAGTTGTTTTTGGTTCCTGCCATTACCTCCAAGTTTGAATTGATTTAGGTGTCTGCCGAGCACACAAGTGTAATACATAAAAGCTTCCACAATAAAACCTGCTTCTCTTGCCCTACAAAGCAATAAATTTGGTCGAATTAGAACCAAAAAAAATTAATTGCCACTCTATTAATAGAAGTGAAATTAGTCTATTTCGTACTTGTTACACTCTTTCAGCGAATCCAAATGAAACATATCAGCTATTAGCCTCCCATAGAACCACTTATTAATCACATTTTTTGTGTTTCTGCCCCCCCCATTTCAGAAAAAAAAGATCCATCGCTGTGGAAAATGTAGACTGAATTTTCTCACCTACAAGGAGAAAGTGGAGCACAGGACTCATGTCCACAAGACTTTTAGGAAGCCTAAAGCCCTGGAGGGCCTTCCTCCTGGTACAAAGGTCTGAGGCAGTCATAATAAGATCTGTGCTATTATGTTAAATGTTAAAGAAATATAAATTTGATCCAGTGTTGTGTTCTCACTGCAGGTGACCATTAGAGCTTCCCTCACAGGAAAGTCACCTGCACTGCCGGTGTCCCCTAAGCAACCTGGTTTTGTCGTCAGTACAGAAAGTCTGAGTGTGAATCATCCAATAAAACCTCATGTTACTGTATCTAAGTCTAAACCAACCACCTCAGAAACAGGAAAGGCAAAGATGCCTCAGAGCAAGAAGCAAAACCCTCAGTCCAAGCACAACCTGGCACTCAGGAATCTCAGGTTGGCAACTTTTTCACACAGCACTCAGGAGCAGACTCTAAAGATGTGCAGCATGTAAACATCAGTGAAGATCAATTTAGATTTCAGAGTGTTCTTTTTTAAAACTTCACTTGGTATGATAACATTAGAACTGCCACGAAGGTTCAGCCATTTCTTCATATCTGAAACTCAAGCTATTCAGGTCCTCTGGATTTCGCTCTTTATTTGCTTGGATTAGTTCACACTCTGGACTCTTGGCTCATTTCAGCTTCAGCTACGCGGCTTCGCACAGCCAACAGCCTGATCAATATCTCAGCAGTCCTTATTATAAAACTTTTCACAGAAAAAGCCATCACAGACTTTCTTATTTCAGGATTTAATGTGACCCATGTCTACCTGTTGTAGCTGTGTGTTGTCACCAGGGGGCGGTGTCAGATGTGTAAAAAAAAAAAAAAACATCTGCTAATGTTGGCTGTTGTTCCTCCTCTGCTTGTGGACTGCTATTCGTTTTCTTGTTAAAGACAGCTTTTTCCAACCAATCAGTTTTTGACATTTTCATGGCATCATTGCATCAATCGCTCTAGTTGTAGTTGTCTCTTGTTGGATTACTTGTTCCTGCGTTCCACTGTAGGTGGTGTAAATAAATACATTTGGACTCTTTTAAACTATTGTGAAGTCGCAAACGTTGAGCCCTTAATACAATTTGAGCTGATGCAAATTTATTAAGAAGTTAAATATCAAGACCCTTTAAAATGACTGTAGTCTTTAAATAAATTAAATGTTTACACTGCAGTCTTCACTAAAGTGCAGATCATTTATCTTAATGACACAATGGGTCTTTTGCATGTGGTTAAAATTGCACCACAACCACTAACATGGAGCCCCACCTCTTGGGTATCCAAGGCAGGGTGGGAGCAAATTAATGGAGGTTATTAAAGCCCCGCAGTACACAAAATAAATGAACGTATTTCCAATTAATTTTCTGGACACTCTTCATTAGGCTGAGTAAAAATAACATGGAGTATAGCAGGATTTCTGTCTTTAAAAAAAATTAATGTGTGTGTGTGATATTTGGCTAATTAGGCTCAGTAATCAACAGCGATTTGCTGGCTTCAGTCACATTATTTGGGCTTTTAAGCAGATCAGACATAAGATGATGTAGTGGTACAACAAGTCGGACTGTACAATTAGAAACCTACAGACCTCTCAGCAGACAATTAACGCATCATACTAATGAGAAATTCAAATCATCATTAACAGTATCTTAAAGTGTTACATTTTGTGTTTTCAGTGCTAGCGGAGGGATTTACACATGCATCGAATGCAACGCACACGTGGACGACTTTTTCTCTCATTTCCCAATGGTTTCCAGTTGCGGCGCATGCAAATATCGCACAAGTTGCAAAGTTTCTATCGGGAATCATATGATAAGGTCAGCAAGACCCTGATTTCCATTGATATTTGAGTGACTTTTAGCATCTGCTGACTTTTTTTTATGACAAAACTTTCTTTCTTTCTTTTTAAAAAATAAAAATAAAAAATCAGATTTCACAGCACCATCACCAAGAACAGATTTTTGAAAATGGATCACAAGAAAAATTCATTGGCCTCAAAGTAAGAGTACTTCTCAAGTTATACTTTCACTTGGCAGTAAATCTGAGTTAAAATAGTAATAAAATTTCTTCTTCTGTTTTCAGGTTCACGTTGGTTTGTCTCAACTGTGACCTTCTCGTCGATGCATCACGTGGCGACCTGATGACCAAACATTTAAACGATCGGCCGAATCACGTATGCAAAGTCATAGCTGAGAAAGGTTTGTGTTTGTCTTTCACTACCGCTGGAGTCATGGCCAGTGTTTAGTTTCACACGTTGCTTGAAAAAGTTGTTTCTTGTTTTTAACCCAGCAGATATGAAAGCCAAAGATCGTGTGTGAGTAGAAACCGCTCCCAACATTTACATGTTGTGATTTGTAGTGAATCTCTGAAACACACTGAAGACCTAAAGAAAATGCACTAAATACTTAAAGGGGCACTCTTTTCAATTTATAGTTTGCTTTCATGAAGTTGAACAACTTGCAACAGACTTTAACAGATTGAAATATAGTCAAAATAGAGACATAACAGAGATTGAGATATCTGTATATCATACACCTCGATTAACTCCAGCGTCTGCAAAGGTAGAATCTCTTATATTCTGTTATTCAGTCCTGTTATACTTTATACAAAACTGAAATAACCTCACAATTACATGAATCGTGGACAATAGTAACTGACTTGCTGTGGAGAATAATTCAGGGCTGAATATGTGTCTGTGTAGATGTTATCAAAGAGGTTAGGGGAAAAAGAGGTTTGTTAGAACTTTTTACCGTCATAAACAACATCAATTCATCCAGATTTGTGAATGTGATAACTTCAGAACAAAGTGATGTAGGATCTTCAAATTGATACCACAGGTGTAGTTACTAAAACTCTCAGACAACTTTGAAGCTCTTTAAACTCATAGTTAGCGTCAGAGGTCAAATTTTCTGAAACTCTTGCAAATACGATGCGATAATCTGCTAGGAGGCAGAGGGATACCACTGGCCACCATCAGCATTTTTTATTGTGTCTGCAGTATTTGGCCTGCATGTGGTCATTTTATTTGAGACAATAACCTTCAGTAACCTTACAGTGTTATAACTGGTTACATTGCAGCTTATGTAATATCCCTCTCAACTAGTTGCACCAGATGGTTGAGTTTGGTTCATTCAGACGTTTCTTCCTGTCATCAAGTACTTCCTCAAAATAAGTCTTTTGACTGCTAAATTTTATAGTTAACATTTTAATATTTACACTGGACCTTAATTTGATACATTTTGTATTTACTGTCTTTTGCTTCTGAAGTTACATTGTGTGTGAAATGGAGTCTACACACACAATCCACGCTCTCTATAGTGAATGTTTGCAGGTGCATCTTTGAGGATGGAATTAGCAGAAAGATATACGATACAAATGCATTGGATTTTTGTGAGATAGAAAAAATATGTGAAGTTTAAAATTTATAAATTACTTATTTGGAAGTGTGTGTAAGTAATTTTCAAATAATCAAAACTTGACACATGATACTCATTAAAACCAAAAACTACTGTTTGTGAGGACTGTATACATGACTCTGACTCTTTTCACAGCATTAGTCTTTTTTTCCCCAAACCTGAAAAAACTTGGTAGATGCAGCAATTTAAAAAAATAAAATAAAATCCTGCAATTTACACTTCTTCCACTAATGCACAGTCCAGAGCGGCTGTTTCATGGGACCGACAGGCGTTACTGAGGTCTTACAGTAGGCCAGGTCACTGATGAGGACAGTGTAGCAAATTAAGGCCTAAAACCGAACCAACATGCTCCGTCTTGTGATTTGTGACTAATAAACATGTGGACGTAGGAGTGCCCCTTTAAGATGACTTAGTAAAACATTAAGAGGCAAATTTATTATTAATAAGTGTGTCATATCTATAGATAATAGGGGTGCAACAATACTCGTATCGACATTGAACCGTTCAATACAGTGCTTTCGGTTCGGTACACATACAGTGGGGCAAAAAAGTATTTAGTCAGCCACCGATTGTGCAAGTTCCCCCACCTAAAATGATGACAGAGGTCAGTAATTTGCACCAGAGGTACA